ACTGTTAGCAATAAGAAATAATGGTTTAAGGAGATAGAATAACTAGGCAAGGCACACAGAGGACTTGAAGCCCACAAGGTCCTGAGGGCATCAGTATTGCCTATGGAAGCCTCAGTAGAGAGCAGCAGTCATCTTGGTTTGCTTATTGAGTTCATGACTCTATTTTTAACAACTAAAACAATTGGGAGTAGGGTATGGCTCAGTAGTTGAGCATTGACCTATGAAGCAGGAGGTCACGGTTCGATTCTGTGATTAGGGCATGCAGTGTGGGGCATGCAGAAGGCAGCCGATCAATGATTCTCTCTCATCGATGTTTCTGTCTCTCTCTCTCTCCCTCTCCCTTTCTGAAATCAACAAAAAAATATATTTTAAAAAATTACAAAAAGAGGTATAAATTCAGCAACATTTAAATTTATTTTTTATTAATTCTATAACTCTTCACATACATGTGAAAACATACATTGATAACACAGTATTTTATCTGCTAACAATGCTGGGTGCACATAGGGACTCTCAGGTCTTTGATAACCCATTGGGCCCACAGCTCACAACTTGGGAATTACTGAATTATGTTGTCTTTTAGGGTGCTTCCAGCTCTAAACCACAGTTATGACTCTGTGCTCATAACAATAATTTTTAAAGCATAAGTTGCATTCAATGTGTAAATTTAAAGAGAACAGAAAAATGTGTAATGTGTCTTTAAAAGATCTCCATTGAAGTTTATTGTGATAGACTTTGGTGTAAGATCAAGCTTCAGTAATCTGGACTGTTTGCTTATGGGGATCACTTCCCTCTTTGACAGTGAGGTATAACACTTAACCTGACAGTGGACCAAGGCGATAGTTGGACCAGTTTCCCAAGCCTTTCTCTTTCTACAAACCCTGTTATTTGTCATCTTAGAAGGCAGAAAAAAAGTAGTTATACCTCATTTTCTTAAAAGAGCACTAAATATCCTGAAAAGCTTTTTCCTAAATCTTATTTCACTAATTGCAAATGGAGACAGAAGTCAAAGATGGTCAAAGGAAATGGGAAATAAATAGATGTCCAGGCTATCAAGAAAATACTTAAAGGAACAGCACCCAGAGCCAGGCATTGCATTTTCCCCTAAAAAGGCATTGGAAGGAGTCACAGTAAAGATGCTTGGAGATGAAAGAGGAACCATGAGGTGTGATGAGGTCAAAGGATGGCCCTGATGGTATGACAGACTTCATTGCCAGATTATAAGACCCTCTGTGCTTGCATCACACATTATTTTTAGCTGCTTTTTCATATTTAAATTAGACTTATTTATTCTTTATTCTTTAATGTATGAGAGCCCCCCAATTTACAGTATTCTGCTGACATATATCCATGTACATGCATACATACGTGTGTACATACCTGAACTTTCTTGTAGAGGCTTCTAAGAATATAAGCAGTATTGAATCTAAACTGTACATAAGATTAAGTTTAGCTTCAGTTTTTCCAGAGCAAAAGAGGCACGATTTTGCCTCCCCGGGTAATTTTTAGTCTGATTTCCAAAACGATGAATCCATCCTGAAACACACTGGCCTTGTGCTCTCACCTTTAGGAAGTCACAAATGCAATATGAATTTAGGACCTGAGTCCTACTGGAACCTGCCCTTTACTAGTATATCTGAGATTTTTTTCCCAAGGTGTACTTCATTCTGCATCATTGGAATATGACTTTCAGGCAGCCTGCAGGGGAATTAAGCATTAGCTGCTGTCTGCTGCACAGTGGTCAGCAAGCGAGAGCATTCCAAAGGTCTGCCTCTAGCTGGAGTCATCCTGGGGCCACAAACACAGCGCTGCAAAGCTTCTCAGGTGTCTCTCCACTACCTCTCCTCCCTTCTTGTAGGAAAAGGAGTTTATTTTTGCCTGATTATCAATTCTCCCTCTATTGGTCACCACTTCAGATGAGTTCTTCTGGTTAAAAAAAAATAATAAAATGGAGCAATGGGCCAACCATCGATCCTGTGCCGCTGGCCACCTCTTTAATTCCACAGTCACGTGGCCTGTTTTCCTGCACTCTTCCTGCCATGGCATTTATTATTCCCGTTGCCACTTTATGCCAAAGTACTCCCTCACACAAAACAACATAAAAATCGGCTTTGAGGTCACTATTACTTGAAGATCTGTCTTCACCCCAAAGTGGCACTATTGGCAGGTCACCTGTCACCTACTTCAGTCTCCTTCCCAGAGGTAGACAAGCCTGTATCGCCTTGGTTCTCTTTAAAGAGAAATCGGGCCTTTGCCCAGCATGACTTTGCTTTGATTGAGGTGTATGTCCAGCCTCGCTCTCATCCATGGCCCTCTCTGAAGATCAGAAGTGTCATGTGAGGCAGTTTGCTTGGTTGCTATGGCTGGGTGATCCTAAAGAGACATTTCTGAGTTTGGTGCCAGCTGTGGGAGTCTTTATGGTTTAAACAGGGAGGGGCCTTTAGTAGAAAGTCATTGGGAAAAGGCCCAGGCACCTGAGGTGTAATTGATGTTTTATTAGAGGCAGAGGCCAAGTTCATACCATATCCCCTGTGACTTCAGTCACGCTCAGGAATGTGCAAGGAAATAGGTGTAGATTTCAATGAATAAATCCCTGTAAGTCCCATTAAGTTAGGTAAACATTTAGTTCCATTCTCGGTAGCTAGTGGGTTCCCTGGAGATTCACAGCTTCCCCAAGGATGCCCATCAGTGGGGAGGTGACCTGGCCTTTAAGGGAACTTTAGATGGAAAGAAGCAAATGGGCTCCATCCAAGAATGAAATTCAGCTACATATGTGTGGTGGTGTTCTTAGCATCTAAGGATCTTAGCAGTGGGTTCAGTTACTGCTGTTAACCAGGCGGTTCCACCAGCTACCAGCTGTATATCTCTCTTTGGCAAAGTCCGTTTCTATGGTTTCAGGCTCACTCCAATCCTGGCTGGGAAGAGGAGCACCATGTCCACTTGGGGCATACTTGGCTGGCACCATTCAGAGCCTTCACCAGATATTCTGAAATGACTGCAAAGGTAGCAGAAAGCAGAGACGTCTAAGCTGAAACATCCCAGCACTTGGGTAGCCCTAACAAAGTCTACCCAATTTCATATAAATACTTAGACAGGCATGAAATGGATTTTCTGGATGTCTGGCTTTTCTTCCTATTGGCTTCTCTCTTCATTTTTGCTGCTGCTTCCTTTTTATTTATTTATTTTCTTTTCCTGAGGTTTTTTTTTTCCTCCCCCCCCCCTTTTTCTCTTGCTAATTCTGATCCAACCAGGTAGCAATGCATTTTCCAGGGAGCCTTTTAAATAGTGTCTTCCCTAGTCTATTTAGTGGAAATGCAAGCTGTTTCAGCCTGTTAAGGTAAAAAAAAATTTAATATTCCCTTTGCATATTTTTAAGTTAGATAACAATTCCTTGCCTTTGATAGACTCTACCCAAATTAGAAATTTTTCAGATTACAAATACTAAATATTTCAGATTACAAATACTAAAACTGCTGTTCCTCCCCCACCCCCACCCCTTTTTTTGTTGTTGCTGAAGAAATTTCTAGCCCTTTTGCCTATGCCCCTTTCACACACAGGGCTGCCCTTCTGGCCACACAAAGCCAGTTGGAAACATGGACAACAGCGGTGTGAGCCCGTTGCTCTCAGGGCCTGGTTCATGCCAGCTGACCAGGAGAGCCAACCCACACCACTACTGTCCCAAACACACTTTTTGAAAACACCCAGCCTTTTTGGCTCTGGTGTTTATCTTTTCAAGTGAGAGCAAGGCAATCTGCTGGCCAGGTCTTCATGTGGGTGCTGCCCCACCCGAAATGCAATTTAACAAAAAGCAGAACTTCCTACATGGGGATGTCGGGTCTGCTTCCCCCCAAAAAACACAGAAAGATTGACGCCATCAAAGAGGTGCTGGTCTGGCCTCGGGACAGCCAAGACCTCGCTGGAGGGGCTAGAGCCTGAGATGGGACTTAATGGCTCCCCTGAAAAATGTTTTAAAACGCATGCGGCTCAGTTCCATGTTAGCCCTGCAGAGTCCAAATAAACTGGACCTGTCAGGGAGCGGCGCGGAGCGAGTGTTATGAATAGACTCCTTTTGTGAAGCGGGCGCTTTCCACGCCCAGAAAAACCAGCCGAGGGTAACGCCGGCTCCCTCGGCGTTGATTTTGGTCAAATCCCTCCCTTGAATGACCTCAATGTAACTTGGCTAGTTATGTGAGACGTGTTGCTTTTTCCTAGTTTTCTGGAAAAGAAATTAAAAACGGGGGCCGCGCAGATGTTGCCCACGGTGCGGAAGGGCTGGACATGCCGGTGGAAACCATGCCCGGCTTCCCGAGAGCACCCCGCTGGCTTCTGAATGAAAGCCTTGTTACCTGGAAGTGTTTTCAATATAGAGTTTGGCATCACCCTGTGGAGCCGCGGGAAAGAATCGGCCCTTTCACACAGAGCTGCCGGTCCCGTCCCCTGAGATCCGTGTTAGCATCGGGGCCCTCGCTAAGCCTGCGCCCCTTTGAGAGGGAATAGTTCCCTGATTCCTGGTTCAGGGCGAGTCCACCTTCTTCTGGTTCAGCCCAGCAGAGGTCCCTGCTGGCCAGGAGGTCCACCCTAACGACACGGGGAATGCCGGTTTTGTGTGTTTAAAAAATTGCCCAGCACATGTTTTTGCCACTCTTGGCGGATGGCTGCTGTGCCAAGCTGTCAAGTCTGTCCTAATGAATGGCCCGACTGCTAAGAATCCTGATTTCTAGAGTCAGAACCAAAACCAGATCCCAGCCCATAAAGGCTAAGGTCACAGATGTGGGCACTGTAGGTGCAGCCTCCCTGAAGAGACCCAACCCCCCCAAGAGGTCCAGGCAGGACCCTTCTATCCACCCCCAAGGGAAGGACCCGGCCAGGCCTGCAGCCTCTGTGACCGCTGATGGAGTTGTGAGACAGCTAGCGGCTTCTCTCAGGGGTATTGTGGGTTCTTCTGTGGCCCAGACTCAAGGGGGGGCAATAACCTATTTCATTTTATTTTTATTTTCCAGTTCTCTCAGGCCAGGCACACCACAGCCCTTTGAAACGATCTGTGTCCCTTACCCCACCCATGAATGTGCCAAACCAGCCTCTAGGACATGGATGGATGTCTCATGAGGACTTGCGAGCTAGAGGACCCCAGTGCCTCCCATCCGATCATGCCCCCCTGTCTCCACAAAGCAGTGTAGCCTCTTCAGGAAGTGGTGGGAGTGAACACTTAGAAGATCAGACCACTGCTCGTAACACATTCCAAGAAGAAGGTAGTGGTATGAAAGGTGAGTGACGGAATGAGAAACCACTTTTAACAGAGCCCCTCTCTTTATCTGGAGTCAGAGGGTAGAAGGAGAGGGAGTCAGCAAGAGAGAAGGAGCCCCCAGGCCCGTGTGTTGGGCTCCTCCAGGGCAGAGCTCCCGTCCCGGGTGGACCATGGAGGAAAGGGCTCAGATTCCCCTTCCAGGGCTTCTTGCCAAAACCTGGAAACAAGACCAGAGCAAGAGAGGTCAGCGCCCTTTTGAATGAATTAAATTTTTTAAAGCAGTGGCTTGCAGTCAATCAAATGAGTCACAGCCAACGCTGGTAGGATCTACTGCTTGCGCGTACATTGCTCAGCCTGCCCTATATGTGAAGATGCTGAGCCGCTCCAGCCTTCTACCTTCTTGGCCGTGTGTTGCTATGGCCAGGGAACCGTCAACAAATTTAGCAAAACAAACCATAGGGTCTTTTTTTTTCCAACCTCTCTCAATGCAGAACTGTAGCAGTGCTTCCTTTCTCTCTCCCTTTTCCTTTGATATCCAAAGAAACCTTTCAACCCTTTTCTCTGCTTCTGTGGAAGGGATATGAAAATATCACTGGGAATCTGACAGTGTTTTTTAAGCCTGATAACAGGTTTGCATACAGATGATAAAGACCTTTTGTGCAGCATAAATAAATGTTCCTACATTGCCCTCTAAATCTACCCTCTTCTAAAAAGACTCATCAGGAGATAAAGATCTCCAAATTACCCACGATAGGTTCAAAGAGGATTCGTGCGTCCTGTATTTCTAGACACCAGCTATTCAAGGGCGGGCAAGTCCTTAGGGAAAGATGCTCAGCGGAGACACACTCATAACAATTGAGGAGGGAGAAACAGTAACTAGTCATGTGTCTGGGACTGGGAGGCTGAGAGGAGGCTCTGAGAACACTCCCTTTGCTGGCTTTAGTAGTCCTGAGGTTTTGCTGTTTCTCATCTTTCCCTTGAAAAGGGTCAGTGTTGACATAGGTGGCTCTGTCCAGGGTCCCCTCCCTGCCACGGAAGCCTGGCACAGAAAGCTACCCACAGCTACCCAGAAAGGTGCCAGTTGTAAGAAAGGACCACCAGACTGGAAATGGAATGAAGCCGGTGGGAAGCGCTGCCCACCCCATCCCCGGTGGGCCCTGTGCTGAGTGTCCAGAGCATGCGGGGCGTGTCCTGATGTTTTCCTGTAAGGATATCATTGGGTCTTTGAACGTGTGTTTACAGGCTCATTGTAAAAGCGTTTACAATGGCTCATTTGGGCATGAAGGGGATATGTGTCCTCTCTCTCACACACACACAGTTCTCCGGGAAATGTGCCATCATTTTGGAGACGTAGCAAAACCCCTTTCTGATCTTATGCTTCGTGGTTTTGTGCTCACGCAGCTGAGGCTCAGGGGAGGGGTCGCAGGTGAGGCTGGGCCCTGCTTTGGGTTAGCCAGCAGGGCAGCTGTCCCTGGGGCAGCGAAGTGCCCGAGGGGCCAAGGCGGGCAGAGGCAGCCGCTGCTCCGGACCAGACTTTTCCAGGCGAAGTGGAGTGTCCGGAGGGCATGTTTCCAAGCAGTCGCATGTGTGGTTCTAGCTGGTGACTGTGGGAAGGAGGCCTTGCCTTTGTATTGAAGGGTGAGGAAGGTCCGTGAGAAGGCCGCCCACCAGGATACAGACCTCTCCCTGAGAGGAATGCTGGTCCCACGGCTCTGTATGAGAGGTTTGTTTGCTTTTCTTCCTTTCGTCCTTTTACTTCCCCTTCGTTTTCTTTCTTTTTTTCTTCTTTTGGAAGCCTCTCGCACACCTTAGACATTCTCTCAAAGTAGGCAAAGGTGTGCTTGCTCATGGTGTGCTGGCATTTTGAGCTGAGAAATGAGTAAAGAGAGCATGTTTTTAAAGAGAAATAAATGAAAGAAAATGTACATAAATGTCCTATCCCTGTTTTAGAATAAAAGCCAAAATATTCCAGAGTTCAAGGTCTATCCCCTATACTGTATACGCCTCTTCAGTGCCTTCCTTTAGAGTTGATGAGAATTGTCTCCTTGGAGCTTCTTCCATCAGAAAAATGACACAGACAAGATCTGACATCCAAGATTTTCTTTATCGGCCCAAGGGCTACTGGTGACTGGGTGACTCTTTCCCGTGTGTGCCCACCCTCTGCTGACCTACTGAGCTGTTCTTCTCCTAAAGAGCTGGATTGGGATGTACAGTATGAAGCCCTTAGCAAACGAAAGGGCAAAACATATTTGAAGGACGGAACATGGGAGTTAAGGAAGGATTCTGTTTGTGGGGAAAGTATATCCTCAGTAGAAAGGTCCATGCCCGAAAACAGCAGCATTCCCGAGTTGGGGGCCAGTGTTTGTGAAACCTGAGTGCCCCTCCCTCAACCCTGCCTGGACAGGTCCTCACAGGGTGGCCACCGCTGGGGTGGCCTCCCGGGACAGTGCTGGAGAAGCGGCCTGAACAGGCCTGTCCCAGGAGGGTGTCATTTGATTCCCAGGTCCAAGAGCAGATGCTGGTTTAAATTTCCAAATTTAATTCCTACTTTCTGAGAAATGAAATATGAAATCCGATGAAGTGCTTTTAAAAAGAGCCAGCACTTCCTCACGGATTCACAGCTCTTTTTTCTTGTGAGCAGGCCCTTTGGCGGGAGGGTCAGCCCCGTCCCGCTGCTCGCTGGTCCACCTCGGGACGCCATCGACTAATTGCTGTTTTTCTAATTTTTAAACGCCCTAGTTACGGGAACAACAAGGAAGCTATAGTAGAATTTGGAGGAGTTCCAAATCTCCAGGGGACGCATGTCAGCCCTCACCCCACACCTTGGGGAAAGAATAAAAAGTCACCATAATTGAGTTTAATTTAGTGTGAATTCATCGTTCTTGCCAACAGCTTGTGCGTACCTTGCTGAAACACTGCGTTCATCCGTTTCTCCCTTTTCATCTAGACAGAGCAGCCCGATTTGGCTATGAATTGTCCCTGAGGAATGTGCCTCTCGGGTCAAAAGTGTGAAATAAAGCTCACGGCCCAGCATTCTTGCTCTTTTTATTTTTTCATAAACATCGATCTCACCCTTTTTTTGTCTCCGCATCAGCACTCCCTGCCAGGGATTCTCACTAAATTCTCTCCCAAGTAGACCAGCTCCTGCTCTCAGAGGATCAGCATCATCTGCCGGCTTTGATTTGTTTTTCCTTTTATAGTAAATAGCCATCCTGAAGGTTTCCGTCAGCTCCAAAGCACGGATTGGCTGGCCCTTGGGGCAGGGATCTCAGAGGAATGTCTCAGGCCACGGGAAGAATGGGATCATCTACTCATCTAGAAATTCATGGGCAGAAGTGAGATCCTGAATGGGAATAGGAAAGCTCCCCCCTTTGACATTCCCTGGGGAGGCTGCTGCTTTTACATGTTTGGACTAAATATGCTGGTTGTGGTTTCTAAATTCAGTTGCCCTTGTTCTTTGCGAAAACGTCACTGTGGCTTCTCCCAGGGGAACAAGTCTTGACTCTGAGTCGGTACTCAATGATAATATCCCCCTTTCCCTCAGCATCACGTGAGTGGAACCTTCTCTCTTACCTCTTCTCTCATGCAAAGCCTTCAGGTTGCCAAGAGGGGAAAAGAGGACATTTCCATGCTTTCCTAGAAAGAAGAGAAAATATGGAAGAGAAGCCCGTTTGTGGTAGAATAAGCACATTTGCCCTCGTATTAGCGGCGTGTCCTCAGAAATGTAGAGACTCAGCAACTGAAGACTTATCCAAAGGCCAGGGCTGTTGACGGGTGAGGTGGCCATATGACCTGGGAGCAGAGAGAAGGGAAGAAAGATTGATTAACAGGTTTGTTTTGTCCTCATTCAAGTCAGTGGGCTTTTTTTGAGCACCTGCTGAGAGAGGCTTTGGATTAGCTGTTGGGGAGACAGAGGCAGAAGAGATTGTTCCTGCCTCAAGGGACTCACTGTCACCTGAGAAACAAACATACCTGATGCAGCTGCACAGCTGTGAAAAATATCTTGTCTTGGAGACTTGCTCTGGATCAGGCTTGGTACCAAGAAGAGCCCTAAGTCAAGTGGAGGGAAGTCAAGGACAGTTCCCAGAGGAGGAGAGGCCTGGAGCTGAGTCCCCAAGTATGATTAGAGGTCAGCCAAGTATAAGAGGTGAGGGAAGGGCAGAGGGAACAGCAAATGGGAGAGCATGAGACAGCTTGGCCAAATAGGTCCGTTAGCTTGAGTGTTAAGGACACATGGGAAAGGGGTCTGTAGAGGGAAGAGCCAGATGCTAGGCTTCATGAAGGATTTTTGACTTGTATCCTGAAGTTGG